CCCTGGAGCTGGAAGGGTTTTCAGATGGGATGAGAAACAGCTGACGACGAAACAGAAACATTCCCGCTCAGCTGAGTTGAGTTTTTTGCTGGAATTCCCTATTGTAATATATTGATTATCCTTGTGAATGCTATTGTTCTTGAATTCGTGAATCATAAACTACCTAACTACCTAACTACCTAACTAATTATAGTACCTAGACTGCTATCCATATATGTATACATACACCCAGTCTATCAGAGACCCAGCCCAGACTTTGGTATCCATAACAGCGCTTCTAACTGTACCTATGTACGTATAGCCGCGCGCTCAACTCGTTTCTACATGGATCCCTGTCTCTCCACCTGATGCTATCCATCCATCCATAACCCAATCCAACAAGCAAGCAAGAACAAAGAATATCCACACAAAGCACTCAGCATGTAATCACACACTTACATACATACATACATACATACATACATACATAGCCCAGATGAACCTCAAATTAACCTGATCTTGACCCCATCTACTCCGTAGCCCATCTTGAATCGCTCATATTTAAGCTAGGCTGAATTCATTCCTTACCAAGACATTTCAGTCACTTAGCCTCGACGCGCGTTATCCAGCCGCCGCCACACTCATGCAAACAATGACATATTCTGAAACATAGTCTCAGGAATGGAAGCAAGACTAGACCTTTCTTCTATCCCTTCTCCCTGCCTACCTACTAAGGTACTCATTGCTCATCCACCTACCAGTACAGTAAGGTAGTAAGTAGCTCTTTTGGACACTCACGCTGCTGACCTCACCGCAAAAACCTTTCTGCCACCTTCTTTCTCTTCCATCATCTTTGATACTTCAACATTTCCACTTGAACCTTGAATTCCGATAAATATCTGCCACTACTGAAATGTATGTATACATGTACTCCCCTGACAAGGTTAGTCTACTTCAACGGGCGGAGAATCAACTCCTGGTCTATTCTTCCGTGCCGTGGTCCCGAAATCACATCACATCCCGGCAGTTATGATCTCGGCTCTATATATACGGAGTAGACGAACAAGATCGACGTCCTTCTCGAGGTCCAGGGCCTCCATCTTTTAGACTTTTACGGATAGAATGTCGTAATATTTCCCCTGATTGTAGCCTCGCTACGTACATATTGTATCAGCTTCCTTGATTATATCTGGGATTATCCTTGCCCGATAATCATCCATGACTTCCGGAGGATCTCACTTATTCGGCACAAAACAGTTTCACTCCACGCATCTCAATACGACTGTACCTACTCCGTACATATGTATTCAGTAATTATCGGATAATTCCCCCGTAGGTGGTTAAACATTTTCTTTCTCTTTCGGACCGATCGCAATCCCAGCTCCTCGGGTATAGGTACGCTGTAGGTACATACGGTAGTAAGTTGTATGTATGTTCTTTCTAATTGACAGCCACATGAAACTCTACATACATCCTCCCCCACAACCTAACAACAACCTTTTCATATCTATAAAACACTCCATATCTCCTCTCATTTCATACCGTGACGGTTCGGTAGGCAGACGATGCTTCCGAATTCACGCCTCTCCGTGCGATATACAACCGAGATTTCCCCTTACATCTCTCGACTGTCGCGATTCTCTTTCTAATGCCTCGTCTAAGTGGGTATATGCAGTCGAGAAAAGGGAATAAAAAAAGTGCAAATCATGTACAGAACTCCATGGCAAGCATCAGCACAGTCATACCATTAGACTGTTTTTCGTGTCCGTGTCCGTGTCCGTTCCCCGTATATCGTCTCGCTGAGTTGATGCGTCTATGTCCCAACAAACAATCGAGTAACTCGTCGCTTCATTCATCTCACAGCTTCATTCAAGTGTTCCTCACAACTTGACCTTCTTGCCGGTGAGCTTGAACCAGATGACCGCAATGAGATCTTCCTTAAAGCGCTCCCATGGGTTTCGGTTGAGCCAGTAACTGAACTCACGGTAATAGTACATCTCGCCCCAACAGTCTCGGCCCCATTCGCACCCTGCCATGTTGACCAGGAAATCGCGCTGGTTCTCCTCATAGTGGATGTGCTTATCCTTAGGTCCGCCGTCGGGGTTGCAAGCTCCGGGTGGGAAACTGTTGATCTTGCGCTGATGTAGGAAGCCGACATGCTTGCGCACCCATGGCTGCGTTTGATATAGCTGATCCAGCGCATCTTGCTCTTTGTGCTCCCACTGCATGTGCTTCTGCTCATATGTGACAGGATCCCACCAAACGTCGAGCAGCCTGTCCGTCCAGTCGCTGCGCCGCATGAAGAAGGATCCCAGGTTGAAGCCGGCGCAATCCTGTGTCATGATCATGTTGATCGAGTTGGCCTTACCATCCCCAACTGGGCTTCGTGAGACCTCATCCAGATAATGATTCGTGAAAGGATGCGATATGTTGCGAGGGTTGAAGTAGTTGATGTCGCGCTCGACTTCTGTCTGCAGGTGGTTGAAGATGTGGTCTTGAAGCGATACCGAGGGCTCCATGACGAATGTGTTCAAGTCCAGCCACCAAACCCTGACATTGAGTTTAGTCTTTTATTCCATTTACACACACACAGCACAGCCAGGGTCAGCTTACCATTCAGCCTTGGGATACTTCCTCAAGGTCGACCGAATAAAGTCGACTTTCTCCCAGCTCTCCCGCCACTCGTGCGCATACTTCTTCTTGGTGCTCATGTCCACAATTTCCAAGTCGTAGCCCCATCGGTTGACGTACTTTCGCTTGTTTCGTACGCTGTCTCGCTCGATAGCCCATTCTCTGGCACCCTTCCACTCCATGACACCACCTCCAACATTTGCGCCCAAGATAATGACAAACTTGTTGCCGCCGCCGAAAGATCTCCTCCAGTAATATACAAGAGCTGCAAATGATCAGTCATAGCCCAAGACCCAAGATAAGTCAGGGGCAACTTACGGGTTGTGTAGAAAATGGTATAGCAGAGTAACGCTACCAGCATGAACAGCAGAGACATCTTTAGTCTCCTGCCCATTCGCCCATAGATCGATCGTATTCTACCGGCGAGTGGTACCTTTCGAATCCATCTTGGCCCCCGTCCATGCTTTTCCTTCCAAGTCTCACGCTGCCCGTTAAACTGCGGGAGGCTGCTCGATAGTCGCCGCATGTGTCTGCTGAAGAAACCCTTGTTTTGAGTCGAAAATGTCGAAAATGTGCTAGAGTTGTGAGGTCGCATCTTGGCCGATTCCCATACCACAGGGCCACCGCTCACGTTCGCTGGAGTCGACCTCCCACTGTCAAGGCTCAATCCTGGGCTTGACCAGCCACCGCCGGGAACAGGTGAAGGGCTTCGCGAAAGGGTCATGGAAGGACCTGGGGTATCTGTAGGAGGCGGGCTCAGCGATTAGCCGGCGAACTAGGTTGACTGTAGTTGACGGTCCATGGAAGTCAAAGACAAGCAAGATGTGTCTACAAAAGAAGAAGAAAAAAAGAAGAGGGAGAAGGAAGAAGGAAGAAGCTAGAGAAATGTGCTTAGGTAGCTGATGAAGCAAGGATGATCAAGAACAAGTTAAGGCTGAGGCCACGCAGAAACCAAGGCGGGAGAACGGGCACAAGAGTATGTATATAAAAAAAGAGAGAGACAGTGGGGAGGATAACAGTCCAAAATAAAGTATGGATGGTGTCAGGGAATCCGCCAAGAAGCCTCAAGGTATGAGAGCTGAGACATTGACAAGACAACTGGAGAGCATCACTATCAACTGTACGTACCTGGAACTGGAGATAAGGGACTGTTGTGAGGCTGCTGTGGCCTCTGGGGATCGGAAGATAGGAAGCCAGGGTTGATCACGATATGGCTGACAGAAGACCGTTGTCTGGTATGAAATGCACGGGAAGGGCGATCGCTAAACGAGCTCGAAGAGCCGAAGGGTGAGCGTGATGAAGCCAGCTTGAGCAACGTCGCAATCGGCGACTTCTAAGAAGGGTGCCGCTTATGCCGGTTATCGCGAAGTGGAGGGTGAGGGGCAGCAAGCAACTCTCGTGGAGGGTCGCAATCACGAGGCTCAAACTGCTGTGATAGCAAATGCTTGGTGTTGTGTGGTTTTCCCCCCTTCCCTCTTTTCCCCTTCTCATTCGCCCACTCTGCCTCTTCTGCCTCTTCTGCCCAGAGTCGCAGGAACGAGAAGTTCGCTTTGACGCCACAAACGTCCCGACTTTTCCACCTTGGCAAGGGAGGGTATACAGACGTTGTCCAAAGTACAAAGCCAACCACGGCCGCAACTCTTCAGCTGGAAATGTGGCGCAGAGTCAGAATATAGTAGTCTAGGCGGAATGGAATAGGTATCGGGGGATCGTGACGGGGCGATGGGTGGCAGCACCGTACACGAGGATTGGGCGACGTTGGCAGGTATACGGGATGGTCGATACGATGCAAGGCGATGATGGTGACAGGAATAGGTTAGAATTTCCCGTCTTGGTGGGTGGATAGGTAGCCTGGCCTGGTATGATGAGGGAATCTGCAGTGAAGCAGGGCAGTGATGGCGCAGTTTTCTTTTTTGGCTTTATCGTATCGACACTAATAAGGTATCCCGGTCTGACTAGTAGGTGCAGTAGCTTCAGTGATGGAGCTTCTCAAAGATTCGGTGTGGTTATTTGGATTGGGTTGGATTGAATCCAACAGCACATCGCAGAATGCACTGGTACCCAGACAGCGAGGAATAAAACGAGTGTGATGCACCAAGTCGCGGTGTCCCGAGGTGTAATTGTTGGAGGAGCAGTGATCCTATGTGATGCGACGCGATGCGATGCAGCTGCGGGAGTAACGGTGGACAACTGTCGCAACTGGATCTGAGTAAGATGCAAGATACTACCTACCTATGTACAGTCATGGATGGACTGGAGTACACTAACAAATTAGCCGAGTCAGTCACTGTGTTGGATGTGAAGCTCGTATCGCATTGGATCGTATCGTATCGGTCAATATAGGTAGGTTCGCTTCGTGGGAGAAAGTCAAAATCAGAAAAGGAATGAGAGTGCAGCAAGTCTGATTCATGCATGGTAAGCAGAGACCAAGAAAATTCAAACAAAGGCCAACTATCTCAGGGGGGGAGAAGCCTTCCATTTCTCTTGCTTCAAGGTTCCCTTCTCATAGGTAAACAATAGGGGGATCCTGGACTTTCAGAGCCAAGAAAATAACTATGCTACACTTGGTTCTAATCCGATCCCGAGCATTTCCCTTTCTTGACAAGACCGGGGGATACCGTACTCCATCTCTGTGTAACGAAAGATCTTTTGCATCCAATGCAGGCACAGACACAGGCACAAGTCCCTTGTTTGTCAGTCCCCAAGAAGATGACAAGCTGCAGTCAGCCTCTTCGCTAGGTACTGTTGCATTGGGAATTGGGTGACCTCTGCTGGAAAAGGCGACATTATTCGAACCTTGGTACTGAACGGAAAGGATCCTGGCCTGGGCCCTTCTAACCCTTCTAGCCCTTCTATAGATTTCTTAGCCTTGGACCCCTATCATATTCAGGTATATAGTGGAGGCCAGGGGGAAGAAGAGCGGAATTACGTCAGAGTTCATCTCCTCCGATTGCATCTGCCGAGACAATTCGATTGTAACGATGCTATCAAAGAGTGCTGACACCGCAAGGATGAATGAACCAGTAGGTACTTACTTGTAGGGCAACAGTGTGTTGGGTTGGTACCCGATTCTTCTCTGTCCCTAGGACTTCTTTCTCCAGGTGCTGGTTGATGTTGAGATGTAATGTCCGTAAACTCGCTGATTTAGAACTCTTATTATTTGCCTCTGATTGCCTTCGTGCATTCTGACAGCCCAAGAACCCCACATTCCTCATTTGAATTTCAGGTTCAGGGGGTTGTAACCGTTAATGGAAAGCCAAGAGTTAGCGGTAATCAGCTAAGAGCTAAGTAAGTTAAGTCGATGAGTAGAGTGAATTGAGTTTGAAACCCAAAGAGCTTCTGTCATTTCAAACATCCATCATTCACCATGTCAGTTCTGCAACTACCGTACAGCAAGCAATGACCTCTTCCAATCTCGCCTCCTCCGATCTTGTACATACATATATACATATAGTTATATACACATTTATATACTCCGTATGCCGATATCATTTCTATTGGCTTTGGTGGGTTACATCAAGCCAAACCTTCGAGCCGAGCCTGTACCGTACCTGTCAATCACAACTTGAGCCTCCAATGAGCATCGGCATCGCTGTCATCTCACCTGTCAACGGTCAAATAAATAAATGAAAGGCATGGATGGTGTGCAAATACCTCCCTGTCAACCTTCCTCTCATAAACCCACGCAGAGTGAGGTGTCCTCTGGCACGTGATGCATCATAGAGATGATCTTCAATCCCCCTTCGCAGCTTTCAGTGGATGCACCATGAACCAGGAAGCACTCAGGCAAGTGTCTCCAACTGGCGGCCTCCTGCAAAGCGTACCGATACTCCAGAACCGAATCATGAGACACCGGCATTATATGCAACACTGTCCCGAATGGCCATGATGGCTTCTGGAGAACGGTGAACTCGATTTGGCCAGGCCAGTTCAGCGACCCCTTCGGTGCCGGGTGCGCAGAAAGAATCTCTTCGTTTTGAGCACGCCTCAACAAACAAGAGTTTGTCAAGTCACTGCATGCCAGATATGCACCGATTTTATGCAAATCGTGGTAATAACGCCCTTTCACCTTGAACCAGCAGTCATACTGTCCATGACCATTATTCCTGAAATCACGTCACGACTGAAGATGTCAAAGTTGACCTGATTGAACCCATTCGAATCAACACTCCAATAGCAACCAGTACCAGGTTCAATCAAGCGTGGCTTGATTTCATAACAGGCATTGTCTCGACCAGCCAACAATCACCACAAGCCAGGCCGAGTGGCCCTTTTCGAGAAGCAAGACCAGCGCTTTTGTATCCAGCATGTGTGTGTGCGTGTGTATTGTAAGACGGACAGACTAACAGCAGCCGGATACCGGACCCTTTCTCCCGAATACACTCTGCATCGCGACAATAGCCAATCGAACATTCTCCCGCCTCTCCATCAGAGACGCGTCGTGGGCCTTTACTGTACGCACCTAAAAAGAGCAATCTCCCCCCCCGTCCTTGTCGACTTAATTCTGGTTTGATATACATACAGATACCCGTCGCAGATTCTAGGCGTGCGGTGGTCGCCAATACAACGGCCTACGAATCACACACACGCCAATGTCGGCGCTTAGAACTGGCCAATCACACACTCGAACCCCAGAAGGATGGCGGCTATTCCACACTCTCGGTTGCCCCAGGTCATTGAATCCATAGCCTATGAGCTATTGTTCAACGTTTGGACCTCAAATGCTTTATTTAGCCTGCAGCGAATCGATGCGGGCTCCTCACTAAAGTCCAATCAAGATGCTTTGCGCCCTTGGCTCTGCTCGATCCTGGTGCTGTTCCTGGGACCATCTTCATATCCACAAGCAACAGCACAGCAGCATGCAATGCAGTTGCTCGAGGTGCTATTATCGGCCACATCCTCACCATGATTCGCTTCCCTATTGTCGTAGTCTTCATAGTCTCATTCATTCTCCTCACCCTCAAGTGATACTTGCTCTTTTCATTCTCTCTTTTGGCTTCTTATTGTCGCTGTCGGTCTTTGATTGTGAACAGCCCATTCTTGTCACATCCCATTGTTCACACTCTCTCCTTTGTTCTACTACATTCATACTAACTGGCATTTGTTCTGTATCGTTTGCTTCCCACCACAGACTATCACCGAAACGGCCAACATTTCGACATTCTGAATCTTCATCCAAACAACGACGATATAGTCATCCGTGGAAAAAACAAACACCAAACGATACAATTTCCATACGGACGGTCGCCAGCCATACATGTCTAAACACTAGATACTGTTAGATTTCCCTCTCGTCTTGCTTCCCTTCTTTCTATTCAGAGACTAGTCTTTACACCATGAACAACGATGCTCATAATCAAGTCTCGGTACACCCACCGCCATACTCGGAAGCCCAACCACGGCGGCGAGAAGAATGGGAGGATTGGGAGGATGATGAGCCCATCACACCCATTGACGCTGGGGAGCAAGTTTCTCCAGCTCCGCCGCATGTGTCTACTCGAAACTCCAAACCCTCAACGCGACGTGCATCCAGAGCTTCTGCTGCAAGAATTGTCCGTGTCAAATCACGCCAGAGACAGAAGGTCCAGAATGCCAAGGCAGGCATCAAGCTTATCACAGACATGTCATCGTTCCGCCGCCAGAACTATATGCCAACGCCGGTAGGACGAGCTGGGAAATTTGTAGACGCTGCTGCTCTAAAGGCATTGGAGGGAGAGCCGACATCGGCTTCAGTAGGAAATTGGAATTGGTTCAAGAAAAACAATGACCAAAGCCCAGCAACTGCTTCGCCGCTGTCATCAGCCCAGCCAGCTCAATCAGCATGTACACCGGACAATAAGCTCTCGCCGGATGACAGACCCATCGTCATTGGCCTAGCTCTCTCATCTGAGGAAGCGGGCAACTCTTCCCGGTATGACGCCGCTCCAACACCCATTGAAGCTCCAGCACGACCCTATTTGCCTCGAAACCCTTCTTCTTCAAACCTGTCTCCATTTCCAGTTCAGCAGAAGTCAGTGTGGTCACCTGATACTCCTGATACCGTTTCCTCATTCAGCACCATTCGATACGCCTCAAGTATCTATTCGCAGTTTCCGTCTCCCGGCACGACAACGGCCGTCAATGTCCCACCCGTGCCGGCGGTTCCAGCAAACTTCAAGAAGTCAGCTCATCAGAGGCTCATCAGCCTGGAACCCGGAGGCAGAACCCCCGATGACTCTGACGGCGGTACGCCATGCACACTGTTTGAAGAAGATGGCACTTCAAGCCCACACAAACAAGCAAGGGGAAAGACATCAGCACTGACGCCCGATAGTGCTGCATCCAAGTCCCGTGGCTGGTGGGATCATCATGTTGTCACACCTTTTATGGAGAACAGACTGACATTCACCACCAGTCCAAAGGTGTATGCTGACTCACCAAAGACTATCCGAGGGGATGAATGGTGGAACAAGCAGGAGACCAAGCCTCCTCAAGGCGAATATCTTACACCGAGCTTGGCTCCTAGCTCTTTTCAAACACCAATTGTCAAAGAACCGACGCCACGTAGGACACCATCCCCCCGTTTTGAGCACACCCAAGAGAGCGAATCTGGACCTTCGACTGCAAGGGCATCCCCCGTTCCTGAAACCATATCCATTTCAGAAAAACCACAAATACTTGTGACCGAGGAAGAAGAAAGTGCCGGAGAACAGCTGCCTGCATACTCGCCTCCCGAAAAGAAGAGCCAGCCTGTTCCAGTAAGGTATAGGGCTGTCTTCCCGCCTGGACACCCACTTCAAAGCCAATCCCCCCCCTCGCCCGGTCCTGTATCTCCTGGTCTCTCCTCCACCATGTCATCCCAACGAGCTGAGCAACTAACTGATATTCCACTCACTCCGGCCCCGCGAGACAACCTGCGTCTCTCTCAAATGCCTCTCCCAACACGGCCGCTGGGAACATCTGCACCCCGCGAATACGCGCATGGCGAAGCCGAACACGCCACCAAACAGGAGCGTCAAAGAAGACGAAACGAGAAGGAAGAGGCTGTTGCTCGGCGCCTTGGTGGCTTCTGGAGAGGGCGAGGATGTATTCCAGAGAGGGGTTGCTTTGGTCGGACTGGGCGCGAGGGTCGACAGCGCCGTCGTGTCTGGATGATTATTCTAGGAGTTCTTCTTGCCGTTATTATTCTTTCGATCACTTTGGGCGTTATCCTGACACGCCCCAAGCATTCACAGAAGGTGCCATCAATCTGGGTCAACTTGACGGATTTCCCACCCATGCCAACCGGAGACTTGACAATCGTTGGACCGGACAATACCGCCGCAAAGAGTGGCTGCACTGAACCCTCCACCTTGTGGAGTTGTTCTCTGCCAAAGGAACAACATGACTCGGTGAAACCCTACAAGCCTGACCAGCCAACCATTATCCTGCAAATCCAGTGGGACAACAGTACCCGCAACGATTGGAAAACTCCCAACGAGGATCCCCCTTCATTGAAGGAGCGTCGAGGTATGGGCGGTGCCGCATTTGCAGGAGACACTATCCGAGCACGAGAGACGTCCGGCTTTGAGCCCAGTCCCAGCCCACCCAAGTTTCAAGAGATGTGGTTTCTGGGAAATACAACCGACGATATCAAATCCGATAAAAAGGGCGGCGAGGCGACTCCATTCTACATCAGTCTGGTTGATTCTGTCGAGGAGAGTAGCCGAAAAGAGCTGACCAAAAGGCAAGAATTGGACATGAATGTTAGCCTTGCTGAAGTGCTCCCATCCCCTGATCTCAACGAGAATGGCGCATCCAAACCAGCAGTCCTGCTCCCGCAGCCGGTCCAGCAGCCAGTGAGGCTCTACGACCGCGGGCTTCCGACCGAGCACTATGGCTTTTATACCTACTTCAGACGAACCATCTTCCTTAAGTCGGTAACGGTTCTCAATGATACCAAGGATGGGGACATTCCCCTAGACGAGGACGGTGGCTGTCGGGAGACAGAGGCTGATTTCATCGCGACTTGGAGCGAGACACGGTTTCTGGTTCAAATCTGGACACGCACACTGGCTGCCAACACATCGAAGCTGATCGATCCTACTGGGCAAGGCGCCATCGACGGATCACCAGAGCTGATTCAGCCAGGAACAATGCCGTACCCGGTGACGGTAACGATGGATACACATGGAGGAGACCCAGGGAAAAAGTTTGTCTGGGCCTGGCCTATCGATGATAGACAGAAGATCGATGAAGAGAACCCTAAGCTACTGGCCAACGACATAGGAGCTGGTGGCACGTGGATCAACAAAAGGTCTCGAGGAGACAAAAGATTTGGCGGCTTCGACGGCGGGACCGGAGGATGTAAATGCCAATGGGTGAATTGGGTTTCAAGATGATCGATCACCTTGAGCCTATTAATGGACTAATGATGGGATGCATGTGGATCAGTAGATAGATACTCATGCATCTAACATGAAAGCATTGGAAAGGGCGTCGTGGAATAAATCAACCCTGGAGGGTATGTTAGCAACTAGTTAATAAATGAGTTTAGTCAAATGTATTAACTCATCTCTGCTTCTATTACTACGTCTTATCATCTCTGCTCGACGTAATCAAGATCCGTCTTTGATGTTGTTCCACGTCCCCCCCACTCTGTCCGATGAGTGGGGCTGTTCCGTGTTGGGGCCCAAAGATCATGCCTTCAGATCTGTCTTATCACTACCCTCTGTTAAAACCCCCAGATTCTTCACGCAGATGCGCTCCCTTCTTCTTCAATGTCGCCATAAGGGAACGCTCCTTGGCTTTAGGCCTCAAAGGCTTCGGTATCTCACAACCCTCGCCATAGAGACGTCCTGCGATGATACGGGCGTCGCCGTTCTTCGGCATACACCAGAATCAACCGAACTCCTATTCAATGAGCGCATATCCTCTGATAACCGCGCATTCAAGGGTATACACCCAATCGTAGCGGCCAAGGGCCACAGTGAAGCTTTAGCACCTCTTGTGCGTCGAGCAATAGACACTCTACCGCCTGCTGAAGATGACAGCCAGAAATTCTGTGATGCTGGTGGCGTGAGAAGGCAAGTTCCGGACTTTGTGTCGGTGACTCGTGGGCCTGGGATGCGCTCGAACCTAGGAATCGGCCTGGATATGGCAAAGGGACTGGCTGTTGCTTGGGGTGTCCCCTTAGTAGGCGTCCATCATATGCAGGCTCATGCGTTGACGCCGCGACTGGCCCGGGCTCTGGGGATGAGTATGGGCGAAGAGGACATCTCCAAAGGGGGACCAGAATTTCCATTTCTGTCCCTACTCGTCTCAGGCGGCCACACTCAACTTGTTCACTCAAGAGGCCTGACAGAGCATTCTATCGTTGCGACAAGCGGCGACATTGCTATTGGTAATCTTCTCGACCAAACAGCTCGCGATATCCTACCTCCCGAGGTTTTCGAAGCAAGCGAGCATGTCATGTACGGTCGCCTCCTTGAAGCCTTTGCCTTCCCACCAGAAAATAGCTCGACTTCTGCCTATGAGGCTGTTTTCACACCACCAGCTTCTCGCTCCGTAGAGATGTCTCCTCCATCCACAGGATATGAGTGGAACATCCCCACGCCATTTCGACAGACTAGAAAACTTGCCTTCTCATTCAGCAGCATCTACACACACGTCCACGATCTCGCAACCTCCCGCCCATCCATGTCCTTGCCTGAACGCCGGGCGCTGGCACAGCATACTATGATGGCAGCTTTTACACACCTCGCAGGCAGGTTATGTATCGCCCTTGACGACAAGCCAGAGCTCAGAGCTGCAAAAACATTAGTTGTAGCGGGCGGAGTTGCGAGCAACAAATTCCTCATGCATGTCCTGCGGTCTATGTTGGCTGTAAGGGGCTTCGGTGACATACAAATTGTTGCACCGCCTATACAACTCTGTACAGACAACGCAGCCATGATCGCTTGGACGGGTATGGAGATGTATCAAGCAGGCTATGAGTCTGAGTTGACAGTGACGGGTATTGGAAAATGGTTCATGGATCCTGAAGTTGGGGACGGGATATTGGGGGTTGATGGGTGGGTGACAAGAGACATCAGGGGCTCAACTCCTGAGAATCCATGAGAAAATGATGAGACTATTTGCACCCTGTATACCACCAGCATGAGCGGTGTTGGCTTGACACGCTGTATAACTTAGCATTCATTGTATTGCATTGTAATTTATTTGACTTTGTGTAGCCATCAATACGAGGTATCGGGGTTTAGGATATCTCTTCTTTGGCAGGGCAAAGACGTCAATTGATATATTACACGGTCGTTCTGGATCTCAGGTCCTGTAGACGCGCAAGGGCCACCTCTATCACCCAGGCTACATCTGTCTGCACGTCTCTACCCCTTGGTTGAGAGCATCTTTATTTCTAAACCCAAAATCCTCTAATCAAGCGCGCTTGTCACGTTGGTAAACTCGCCCTTCTCAAGCTTGGTCTTCCAGAAAATGGGGTTGGTGTCGTTGAAGCCGTGCTTCACCCAGCCCTCTTCCTTAACATGGTACAGGTTGATGTAACCACCAGAGTAAGCATCTCGGTGGGTGGCGGCCAGAATACTTCGCTTTCCAAGCTCCAGGGCCTCCTCATCCGACAGATCGTACTTGTACTCGGCATCGAGAACACCATAGGCAAATGTTTGACCCGAGCCAACGCAGAAGAGGTTGCCCGCCAAGCGAGTACCATCGCTGTCGACATAGTAGAGAGCAGGGCCTTCCTCCTTGGTAACACCGGCGCACATGGTGCCCATGCTGAGGCCCATTCCCTTGTAGCTGTAGACGAGGTTGGCAAGGATCTTGCTGGCGGCGGCAACGCTGATGCGACGCTTGTGTCGTAGCTCATGGAGGCGACACTGCATGCCGAGCCAGGCAAGCCAGTACTGACAGTCTGCAGCACCACCGGCCATGGTTCCTAGCAGGACGCTGTTGATCTCAATGACCTTCTTTACGGTTTGTGAGGCGATCCAGTTGCCAGCGGTGGCTCGGGAATCGGTCGCAACGATGATGCCGCCCTGGAAACGGAAAGCGAGCGTGGTGGTTCCGTGGGCGATCTTAATGGGGCAGTTGGGGTTTGATCGGTCATCAGTGGCAGCGCGAAGCCATGATGAGGGCTAAAATTATACAATCAGTATGATTTTCATAGTAGCCAAGTTCCGCCTAGGATACTAACCTGAGCAACGGGGGGCATGGCAAACTTGAGCGAGAGGTCGCCCATGGAATTCAGCAGCTCATCCTGGTCCTCAAAAGGCTCATTCTGCTCATATGCTGGTCGGCTGTATTTCGAAACAAGAGAATCCATCTTGGCTTTATTGAAAGAGAAGCAGCAGTAACAAATGAATTGTCTTGTAATCCTTCGTCCTTGAGCTGAGTTGAGTCGAGCTGTGTGCCTCGAATCCTAGCTTCGGTGGCGTGCAAAAGGCGGAGAGAAGTGTTTTCCCTAGTCGTGATGTCTTTGTTAAATTCGTTCGTGATCTAGACTGGTGTTGTTGACGCTGACGTTGACGTCGACGTGCGTGGATGATGTTGATGATAAAGGCGGAAGCCGAAGCGGAAGTACAGTAGAAGTGGGAATTGAAGCTCCAAACAAGGAAGCTGAGGCTCAGGCAGCTTCCGTTGCGCGCGTCAACTGAAATGCCACCTCCAACTTCGGTACGTACCTATTCCTGTGACTGCCCGCGGCGGGGCGGGGACTACTACCTAGTGAATGCCTGATTATCAAGGCTCTCAACAGCCCAGCTCGCTCACCTCACGTATGAAGGTACCTTGGACAATACCTTTAGCCTTTAGGTACAACATCTGAAGAAAAAGATAAGGCAAGATTTCACATATACATACACATATACATATGTATATTTAGAAAGGAAAAGAAAAAAGTACTTTATTCGTTCATTGATCGCTTCTTAGTCTCTGACCAAGTTTCCCAGGTTCCTCAATCCCTTCCTTGCCCCATACGCCAAAGAAAACCACTACCTACTAGGTAATCAAGGGATATCGCTCTCACTGACTGACTCCCACCATTTCACAGACGTAAAACATACAGATTTACGTCCTGCACCTCTTGGTCGAGCTTCCTCCTCGATTCGCCAAAGAACCTATTGTCTCCTTTCTTCAATGCCGGCCCAGATATTACCTCCCAAGATTTGCTTCTGAATTAAACAAATGAAAAACAAAAAGAAACAAGCACTTGAAAGCAAAGATCAAGTATAAGGTCTCAATTGCTAATCAAGACTCGTGTGAAATCAAATAACCTGTCATTACCCAGCTAATGAACCATTCCTGCTTAAGGGTTTGGCGTCACTTCCCGACTGGTTCGCCCATCCCGCTTGCTCATGAAGCTTCGGCGAAGGTGGGCTTTGGGACTATCGGGAACCAGGTTAGACTCTGTTGGTTGGAAACTGCTCTTCAGTGTCACTGTTCCACTGCCAACTGTGAGCTCCTTGGCGGCAGATGAGCCTGACTCGTCCACAAAGTAAACATGCTCGCCCAGATCATCGTCACTGCTGAAAGTGTGCTGTCCCTTCGCTTCGATCTTGAACTGTGCGTCGGGCGAGCATGGAAATTTGAATGTATCGCCAAAGGCCCACTGACCATTCGTAGACTTGAAGTGCTTGGTCTTGCCCACTGTCTTCTCCTTGGGGTTGATCTGCGTGATGACGATATACAGATCCGATGCAGGAGGGAATCCTGTGGCTTCAACCACAGTAAAGGAAGCAGTGCCTGCTGGTGCGGCTCCGGGATTAGCGCTGTGGACTGATGACTGTCCAATGCTCTTTGCCCGAACATGGCCGTTGCTTGTAGAAGGTCGAGTACCAGGTGATGCGCCCTCTTCGTTGATGGCAGGTGACCGGCGGAGCCCACCATTGGTGCTTGCGGTACCATTAGAGCTCAGGCCTTGAGGTTCGAACGCCTCACCATCTTCTTCGATGATGTCCCCATTGTCCTTTTTGTTAAAGATGCCACGGCGGAGGAACGAAGCTCCCCTACCAACGCCGTGACCAACAACTCCCGCGACTGCAACACCACCCTTGAGCGGTGCTCCGGCAACACCAGTGACGATACGACCAGGAGTAGACGAGAAAGTGTTGCCAAAAGTGGATGTGCCCTGTCGTGATCGCTGGACATAGCTGGGTCGGAACAGGAGTCGGATGCGTACGCTTCCCGATTTGCCATCAAGTATGTACTTGGTCTCTGATGGCTTGAAAGGATCCAGAGACTCGAGATTGATGTCGGCAGCACCCAAGAAGTCGGGTTTGTCTGCAAAGTCGTAATCCCACACCGAGAGTTTGAATTGTGCTGCAGTCCTCGAAGGCACGTTGACCTCAAAGTATTCATTCCATGTGGGATTCAGAGTCTTCTTTATAACCTTGGTCTTGTGGATCTCCTGGCCATTGAGCTCGAATTTACAGTAAGGATCACTCTTGCCATTGCGATCAGCTGAGGGAAGGTCAGTAGCATCGAGAACATCAATGCGTAGTGTACCCATGTTATTGATACTCTCGCTCGGGTCAAGCTGCATCTTAACCGGGATGTACTTCAAGCTGACCTTAACACTCGCGGGGCGTCCATCTTCGCTCTTGAGTTTCAGAGTTGTCGGGTTATTCTAGAAAGGCTAGTTAGTTTTCATGCCTATACAGTGGGATCCAACGTCAGTCTTACCAGGCACTGCTTGAGAGTTTCCAGGGTGTTGCCAGCCAACGAGGCCATGAGATCATCTTGGTCATCACCCTTCTTGCGAGCCCGAAGTGTCAGTCGGGAGAAGTCAAGCTCACGAATGAAGCAATCTCCAATCTCCTCAAACTTGTGATGCTTGCTGCGAGCAGTTGACGAGACGTAGGACGGGTATGCCATATCGTCTACAAGAACCTCCAGCAGTCCATGGCTTTCTGGCATCTCTGCCTCCATGAGTCTGAAGATGAGCAGGCCACTCTCATACCTGAGAAGCTCCTCAGGAGACAATCGGATTTTACGGGGACCCTTGGGCGCCTCGATCGAGGGGCGTCCAACAGTTGTGGGCGTGGGCGGTTCCAATTGGTTCTCCTTTGGCTTATCCAGGCTGGCGTTGAATTTACCAGCTTCGCTGGATCTCTGCGGGTTGGGTGATTGTTCTTTACCGGAGGAGGAATCCTTGTCCTTCTCTGAATCCTTCTCCTTCTCCTTTTCCTTTTCTTTCTCCTCTTCATCTTCGTCCTCAGGATCAGCGACATTGAGACAGGGGTAAAAGGCAACAGTGTAATGCAGAACTCCTTTGGCGATACCCTTGCCATGCAGACGCAGACCATCCTCGCGGAGCTGTTTCTTGTCGTTGACAAGGTACTCCCCAGTCTCGTCCTGTGCGACATAGTCGGCGGCAAAGACTTCGACCATTCCCAGACTACGGTCCTTGCCAACCTTTTCTGTATCCATTACTTCCAAAGCAAGTCTATCGCGAGCAGAATGGATGGGCACGTAAAGTACCTCGTCCCATTCAGGATTGAGATCATTGCGGAAGGTGACAGTCCTTGCTTTTTCAATACCAGAGAGCAGAATTCGGGTGTAGGGATCCGATTTGCCGAATGCCTCAAAGTTTCGTAGATCAGTAGCCTTCTTGAAATGGAGACGCATCACACCGATGGGCGTGACATAGCCACCAGTGCTGGCCACGCCAGAGATAGCGACGGGTCTCCACTGTGCCATCATCTTGACACGACCAGTCTGAGCCCCATGCAGGTTATACCATTCTTTACCTTGTTCCATACATTCAAGCATCTCATCAAGCTTGATCTGGTACTTTCCGAGGACTTGGTCTCCAGCGAGATCACGGTCATCCTTGATTGTAAGACCAAGCTTAGCCTTTTTCCGGTCCGTGATTAGAATCTCCTTAGACCCATTGTCCCAGATAGGGTTGTTGGTACGCTTCAACTTCTTGGTTTGGTGGACTTCTTTACCATTTAAGAACATAACCGCGTAAGGGTTGAGCGATCCTACAAGGCTCTTGGTACCATCCAGATCCTTGGCCTGTTCCACAGTAAATCGAAGGATACCTTGGTTGGATGGAGGTGGAGGTTCATCTTGTCCCTCAGCGTTCTTGATGGTTTCAAGGACAGGAAAGAAGCGAACGTCACACGAAACAACACCACGAGCCTTGCCATCAGAGATGACCTCCAACCGCTGATTTTCATGTACATTGAGCTCCTCGACGCTTTCCAGAGGAAAAGAAGCAACGCCCAGTTCTTTTGACTTGCGGAAATCATTGTGGTCGAATATTTGCATGTCCAGCGAGTCGTTGAATGAGGTAACAATGATGTAGTGGGTTTCGTTCCACCTGGGGTTGGAATTGTCATGAACAACTTTAGTTCGGGCAAGCTCCTGGCGTCGGTTCAGGCTCAAGCAGGCGTAAGGATCAACGGTTCCACCAAAGTTGTCGGTGTTCTTTAGACCCTGAGCACCATGGAGAGTCACTGCCACGACACCGATAGCCTGGTCAACGGGAGAGCCAGCCAGCATCTTCGCGACCTCAATGGGGAAGACCTTGGGTGCGTACATCATCGGGGCCAAGTTGCCATGAATCTGTTCCAGGATGAACTTCTCGAGACCAGGAATGAAGTTGATATCGAAACCGAAGTTATCACCGCCGAGGGGCTTGCAGACGTAGTCGATTGTTGGTCGCTCCAGGAAGCACATTTCAACACGGTCAATGTGAGGGAAGGGAATTTGCAGCTTGATCTTGAGGCGCATGATACCGGAGAAAGCCATATCCTCGACGATGACGTCGAGACCCTTGCTGATCATGGCCTTGCCAATGCGGATCTCGAGGACAACCTTGGGATTGATCTTGCTTGAAAGCTGGCGCGAAGTCATATCGGCGGTGTCGTTGGGCGTGAAACTGAACTTCCAGTCCATCATAACAATGTCATCCTCAGTCTTGGGGTAGGTTTTGACGTGTTCCATACGAGGAGGCTTGCTGCCCAGAGTAAAGGTCTTGAGCTTGAGACTGTCCAAGAATGAGGGGGTAGCAGAGCTCAAAACTTGATCGACTGAATTGATGATGGTCTGAGCAAGAACGGGCTGATAAATGGGCCAGAATTTGACCATGAATGAATTGATCCATTCGAGGGACTCGTTGTCGTTCTCGAGCTTTTTAAGAGCCATCTCGCGGGTTATGTCGTCTCGGAAATTACGTCGCACTCGTCGCAGGGACGTTCGGTAGTAGGTCGAGCAAAAGGCCATAACGATGATGATCCAGCCGAGGCCCCCGCCAAAGACAGCAACGAGCCAGGAGGAGATGCAAGCAAAAATGATAACGCCCGTGTTGTGGTACCAATCTGCCCTTGTTAGTGGTCTGTATGCGCATGCATGTGGTTGAATTGAGACATACCACCATAGAGGGTATCTGGAAGCTGTCCCTCGACCCATGTCGCGTGATCGAGGAGACTCTCCTGTTCGGTAGCATCGTCAATTGGCCATCCTAGTCGAGGAGCCCATCCTGTCCGCGAGAAGGGGGCTTCTTCGGCTTTGGGGTCAGTGCCATCCGCGAGCGGCTTGCCCTGCTCGTCGCGGGCAACATCCAAGACCCCTTCTTTGCTTGGTTCTGGCAGATCTTCGATAGGGCCGGTGCCGTCATCGACGTCGGTGATAATTGCGGCACCCTTGGGTCTTCTACTTTGCTGAAGTTCGGGCGGGATGGCCTGCGCATGGCTCACGTTAGTTGTAGGTCGCGATTCCAAGAGTAGAGGGGCATACGGCATTGGCTTGAGCTTTCTTCTGCTCCGGGCTTGCATCAGGATCGAATGTGAAAGCAGCGACACCAGCATTCCTCGAGGCCTCTACAATCTTTTTTTGGGCATCGTCTGCGGTGACATTGGTTTGAGGGTCTGCAGCAGCCTCTACGAGACCCTGCTGCTTCAGCTCATCAGCTTCCTTTGCGGTAGACATGACGTTATGTGGTGCAGCGTTGCTGCGGTTGCTGCTGGAACGTGCTGGTTCGAGGGGTATATTTTGGGCGGTTCGAAGTCGTCAATTGGCGTTTTTCAAGCTCTAAGCACCGTCGCGAAGCATTCAAACTAGCAGGTCGATCCCGAACGACCGTCGTAATGGCGTTGGCCGATTTACTTCGTAGTGAGGTTGCAAATGCCCGCGTTGCCAGCTGAAAGCCTGGTAGCTGGTAGCTCGGGACACTGGTTTAGGTACCTCGGAGCTGAGCTGCTGTGCTGAGCTGAGCTACCTTGGGTTGCCTCAAGGTGGATTACGTGCCTAGCTGGAGCTGGAGACACCAGTTTCAGACAGACAGAGAGAGGGAGGGGGGTTGGTATGGAAAACGAAAGGGAATCCAGAAGGGCAGTCGAAAAGAAGAGAGGGAACAGTTGAAATAAGAGAGAGAAACCTGGAAAGGAAGGATCGGAGGTGGTAATAAACCAAGCCAAGGGATTGAAAGGTGGAAGAAATCCTGGCAGAAGATGACAAGAAGAGACAAGTCAAGACGAGACAAGACAAGACAAGACACGGAAGACCAAGATTTGGGCCTGGGCTGTTCCAGTGGTGCAACCTGCAACCTGCAACCTGCAACCCGCAGACGCAATTGCAGCCCAGTTGAGTGGCTTCGTTCCAAGCTCGTTGGTGGTCGTCGAGGTGAAGGTACTGGAGAGTGAACTGATAAAGGGTACCAACTAAGTACCTGGCAACAAGCCCATGGCTCGACATACGGCAGTGTCATTTCGAAGTTACTCTCGCTAGTGGGAGGGAGCTAATTTGTGGCTCAATAAGGGAAATTGAAGCAGCCGAGAGTTCGATCATTATCAGCAGAAGCGGAGTCAATATCTGCATGTAGACAGCTGGAACCAGCCCGGCTACTAGGTAGAGGCTGGAAGCTATGGAGAGCCAGTGATCGGATCCATACAGTGGAGTTGGAGGGTGCCTGAGCTTCAATAGAGGGTGTTGATTACGGGCCGAGCGAGCGAGCGGCAGAGAACAGATCCTAGGCAGGGCCCGTCTCGATGATGATCAGCATTCACTGACTGCAAAAGGTACCATGTATCGTGGTACTGTGAAACAAACGTCTGTAGACTAAACAGCATATAACAGTGGAGGTAATTGACCACTTCTCTTGTTTTGTGCAATTGTCCTTTCATCCGTAACACAGGTACCTATGGAGAGCTTCCAAAGCTATAGTAATCAGTGGAGCTCTGCTCAAGACTGTTGCTCAACTGCAGTGCCTCCAGAGACATAAATGCTTTAAGCCGAGCACTGCAACACAACGAGGTATTATCTACAAAAGTTATCTATGTGCTATTACCAGTGAATAGCGTTCTCATTTATGTCACCCCATCCCAAGAAACCCTCTCAAAGCCTCCCTAGATCCC